AGATACATATAATCACAGATTAACCAAGACATCTGGTCTCTGGCCAGTGTTCAGAGTCTGGGTGTCTGCTATCATGACTGCACATCATGACTCAGCTGGGGTCAATCTAGAGTAAGCTTGACTTCTAACCCAGAAGCTCTTAGGTATAAACTGAGATGAGATGCCTTAATGTACTACATAATGTGAAATACAACCAAAATAACATTAAGTTTTTGTTGTTTTTCACTAACAAGTGATACCTCTCTCCTCTGCACCAAAACAAAAAGTAGTAAAACCCAAGAAGTGTACAAGAAACCAGAGGATGAAATTAGAATTTAAGTTGGCCAAGTAGGATTCAGAATGACATCATGAAAGAAAACAGGAATAAAAAAAACAAACCCTATAACATCAATATATAGTTCACTACAATGCTTCCTAAATGTTTCCTTACCTTTACTTAAATAACATTAAATTATTAGATTGCTAATGTTTGTAAATATATATAGTATTAGCCATAGAAACTATAAACAAAAATTTAAAAACCTTTCTCACTTTGAAAATATTTCTCTTTCAAAGTGATTTTTTTAATCGTTAGCTTGCTTGATATGGTCAAATAAAAACTTCAAAAAAGATAATTTTCCAAATAGTATAGCATAAACTAAAAAGGCAAAGTTCACACATTACCCAATCCTCCAGATTCCTTCTCCCCAAGCCAAAGCAACCATGATTAACAGTTTTTTAGAATACTTGCTTTTTCCACCAATGTCACCTTCATTTTTCCATATCAGCCCATGTAAATCTACCTCATTTGTGTTAGTGGGTAGATAGGACTCCTTTTTATGTCAAGATACACCGTAACTAATTTTAGCTGGCCCCACATGAAGGGATATTCAGTTTGTTTGCCTTTATGTTTTATGAGGCAACTACATAAGAGGCAGTGATAGACATCCCTGTTCATTTAGCATTGAATACTTGTAGCTAACGTAGCTTTAGAAAAAAATCCTAAACATAGAATTCCTGGGTCAAAAGGTAAATGTACTTGAAGTTATGCATTTTCTTTTCCCACACTACACCACTGTAGTACTTGGAATTTTAAAAGATGGTGCCAAATTATACTCCAAAATAATTAAATAAATTTACATTTCCACTAAGTAAATATGAGCATTCCACATCTTCAACATGGCATTATCAAACTTTTTTTTAAACAAGTCTGATACTTTATTTTCACTTAAGTGAGTCTTAGAATCTTTTCACATTTTTATTGGTTCCTTTTTCTTTTCCCCCATAAATGGCATATTTCTATTTTGCCAGTCTTTATATTAGATTGCTATTCTTTCTTCTTACTGATTTTAAGATATCTTTCCATATTTAAGAAAGTTGTTCTCAACATACTTGCTATAAATATACTTTGTCCCAGACTATGTCTATTAATTTAAAGAATGCTTTTTGCCAGGTGTAATTTAAAATTTTATAAAATCAAATTCCTTCGTATCTTTTAATTTTATATGATCAAATTCCTTCATATCTTTCTAGCTTTTGTGCATTGCTTTTAGAAATTACTTTCACACATAAGATAATAAATACACTGACCCTGTGAATTCTTCTAGTACTTTTATAGTTCTGCTGACCAGCTAGAGTTTATTTTAGGCTATAGAAAAAGGTAGGAAATCCTAGTTTTATTTTGTTTTGCTTTTTCCCCTATTGGAGGAGCTTACTAGTTTTCCAAGACCATTTGGTAAATAATCCATTTCTTCTGTCTACTGATATGAAGTGTCATCGTCATTATGGTTACCACCATCAAAGTCTAAAAGTCTAAGCACGAATTGTCTCTTCTGTTCTATTACGTCGTCTATTCTTGCACAGGCACACATTCTTTATTACTGTAACTCTGTATTATGCCCTTAAAATTTTGGTAGGGCCCCCTAGTGACACTTTTCCTCTAGATTTCTCCTTGCTACTCTCTTAGTTATTTTCTAGAAGAAATACAGAACTCTCTTTTTTTAACTTCTCCCCCTAAGTTTTGAGGAGATTATAATTGGAACTGTACTTAATTTATACACTAATTTAAGAAAAAACCTTACAGGCTTTGAATTTTAAGTCTTACCATTCATTAGCTGTAAGCAGTAGCAGTGGCAGCAAAGGTAGTAGTAATAAACATGATTATAACTAACTTTTGTTGAGGACTATATATCAAGCCTGTTTGACAACCTTATGGTGTCATCTCCATTTCACAGATGAGAATATTAAGGCTCAGAGTGTTAAGCAACTTGCCCAAGGTCACAACCACAACTGAGATTTTAATCTGCATAATTTGACTTGAGTTTACACTCGGAATTTAAGAAGTTTAGTACAGTAATTACAAACAAGGTGTGCTTCTTCCTCCAAAGCTACAAGTATTAACACAACATTATCATTAGTACGAAGTCACCACAAGTATTCTAGCCAGGCATGGCTCTCTACGCAGATAGCACTGTGAAATATTCACAGATATATGCCCATCCCAAATCCTCAGACTTTTTTGTTCCTATATAGTGGGTCACCCCAATGCAGAGATCTGCAGCAATAATCAGATCATGGGAGCTGAGAGTAAGAGGTGATGAGAATACTGAAATGTAATTGCTATCTAAAGCAGAGAAACCATTTAAGCTTGCCATTTATTAATATATAAATAGTAGTGCGTACACACACACGCACACACTAGAAGTATATTCACATAAGAAGTTGAATGCTCAATAGATTTTTAACTGCCCAATCAAATATACTGAAATTTATCTATGTAGAACTTCCCAACCCTCCTCCCTCAAAACAGTTCATCAGAAGAAAGAAGATAACAAACAAAATTATTAGCTTTTGGTTTACAAAGTAAGCTCCTGAGATATCAAGGTAGAGATTTTACTTTAAGACAACCGAATTTTGAAGTCTACTAACTTGGTTTGAGACCCAAATGCCAAATCCCTGAAGTTATATTTACTTTAGGGATATGGAAAGAATACATGAGACTAGTCCAGCTCTGGCTTCCTTAGTAAAGATGGCTTCTTCCCCCTAAGACGACTGACGGTACCATAAAAGGTAGAGAGCATTCCTGGTGGGAGGCTTCTCTGGCCTTTGGTTGGGGAAAAAACAAATAAGGTATGTCTTTCATATACTCAACTGTCTCCTCCAGCAACTTTTAGTTTTCTTCTCATAGTCCCTTCGTATTCTTTCTGCTAATTCCTAGGTAAACTTAGTTGCTATTTTAATTGGGACTTCTTCTTCCATTATATTTCTAACTTATTATGGTATTTATAAGAGAAAACTATCATTTTAAAACATTAACTTTGAAAGTGACCACCTTATGAAATTCCTTTATTGTCTTTCATCATTTTTTAGTTGACACTGTAAGTCTTCCATATAATTAATCATATCATAGGCAAATACTTACAAATTTAATGTATTCTTTCCAATACTTATATTTCTTAATGTCTAACTGAATTAATCTTGCATGCTTCAGTAATGTTACATTATTGGTTTGCTGTACTACTAGATTTCATTTGTAATAGTTTCTTTATAGTCATTGCTTACACGAGATGAGTCTACAGTTTTATTTTGTATTTTCCTGAAAGATGTGATATTGTTGGTTTTGCCAATTTCATAGCTTTCCTCCTATTCCTATGCTTTGTAACAGTTTGACTAGCATCAAAATAATCTTATCCTTTAAAATTAAAATAATTCATTTGTGAAACCAGCTATGTTTAGTGGTTTTAAGATACTTGCTGAATTTCTTCTTCCACAGTGATTGTTTGGATTCTCTCTTCTCTGGGGCCAATTCTGTTGATTTATATTTTTCTAGTAAATCATTTGGATTTATTTTAAATGCTACTGTGTAATTCTCTTACTTGCATGCAACCTGTAGTAATCTTGTCTCTTTAAAAAGGAAAAATATGAGCAAACATATAAATCAACATTATTGGAAAACACCTAGGATAGGTTAAATGAGTCAAAGTGGGAGCAAAATACTGGTAGATAGCATTTAATTCAGAGATTTTGGAAAGAAACCTTTAAATAGGGCTTTAAAAGTAATGCAGTGCTTGTAGGGTGTTTATATCCAGAGAACTGTGAGTAAAAGAGAATCTAAATCAATACTACCATGAATTGTTTAAAAACTGTGTATTTCTTGCTACAATGTAAGAAATGGCTTTCAGTTAGATAATTATAGTATATGTCTTAAGTATCTGGAAAATGTAACTGGGGAAAAAAAACAAAATTGTGTGAAATGTTTTAAGTGTTACTACTCCAGTTATCTAACCCTAAAAGTAGGGTAAGTATCAAAGTACAAAGTGGCGTTCTTCTAATTTATTTATTTGAAACATTATTACTCAAACATTTAATGACCACTGACTATCAGCTGGACACCTTGTCAGAGTTATGAAAATGGCTTAGACATGGTCCCTTGGCTCAAAAAATGTATTACCCTCATCCCTAGTTTCAATACGACATAATACTCCATGGTTATATATAACGTGACCTCAACAAATATAAACAGGCCCTCTAGAACTTTGCTTCACAAACCAGTAAATACAGAATAGTTGAAAATTAAATATCAAACATAAAACTATCAATACAAATATCTATAATTTTGAACTGCTCCCACTATTCTGATATTTAATATTCATTTAATATAAATATTAAATCCTGATATCTCAAATTGGATATCATTTCCCTTTCTATAATGCTCTAAGAAAAGACAGAAGTCTGAAACTGCTCTGAGACCACAGCTTTGAATAGAGGGTCAGAAAAAGGCAAAATAAACACCCTTTCTACGAGGCATAATGAAACAGGGTATTAACAATAAGCTCACGTAAAAAAAACTGTATGCATCAAAAGGATCCTTTACACTATTAGACTGCTAATAAGCAACAAAAAGTTAATATTCATATCGTACTCTGAAAAAAAAACTTATCTATAAACACTACACACTAGAAACACTATCAAAATATAAGCAATAAGAAAGTTGGAAGTGCTCTGATGTAGTACAAACCTACCTGTGCACATGACTCTTCAGGTGTTTTGGCACTAACTGAATAAAGTGCGGGAAGATCTAGTCGATGCACGGAGAATCTTTCTAGAGTGTGCAAAAGTGCTGGAGCAAGGTGAGAAGTTTGACCTGAGCCCCGTTCTCCAGATAGCAATAAGCGCGGCCTGTAAGAGGTTGGCTGATGATATGGTGACCTGTAATACATGTAAAACATAATTATTTCAAAATCATACATTCTGATATGAAATATCAGCAAAATTTTTTATTTAAAACAATTTAACTCCAAATTAACAGAACTTTCCTATATTATTTTAGTACAGTATTTATTTTTTCATTAGTCATGGTTTTAAAATGTTGATATCACTATCATATTAATAACCAAAATATAAAAGTATAAAATCCACTTTAAAATAAAATAACCTTGGTATTCCTGCTATCATACCATATATATTAAATTGAAGATGCATTAAACTCCAGTATCATTTAGTTATTAATTACCCAAGGTTAAAGAATCTTACTTTTTTGACAAAGAGGTAGATCTGAAGATTATTCCAAATGTAGGATTCAATTAACAGGCAGAGCATTTAGGAGGTGATTAAGTCATAAGGGGTCAGGTCAGCCCTCATGAATGGATTAGTTATATTATCAAGCCCTTTGATAATATAACTAGCTAGCTAGTCCCTTCGATCCCTTCTGCCCTGTGAGGACATTGTTGGTCCCCTCCAGAGGAAGGAGCATCCAAGGCATCATCTTAGAGGTAGAAACCAATCCCTCACCAGACACCAAATCTGCCAGAACCTTGATCTTAGACTTCCAGCCTCCGTAACTGTGAGTAATAAATTTATCTTGTTTATGTTCTCACTCATAAGTGGGAGTTGAACAATAAGAACACATGGACACAGGGAGAGAAACATCACACACTGAGGCCTGTGAGGGGGCAGGTTGGGTGGGGTGATGGGGAGGGATAGCATTAAGAGAAATACCTAATGTAGATGACAAGCTGATAGGTGCAGCAAACCACCTGGCACATGCATACCAATGTAACAAACCTGCACATTCTGCACATGTATCAGAACTTAAAGTACAATAAACAAATACATAAGTAAATTTATGTTGTTTATAAATTACTCCATTTAAGGTATTTTATTATAGCAGCAGGAACAAACTAAAACAACCACAATTTTTAAAATAACAAATTTATATATATACACATACACACACACACACACACACACACACACATATACACATATATATATATATATATATATATATATATATATATAAACTCCTTCCAAAAGATGACATCTAAAACCCCATACCGAAGAAGGAAAATATATTAAACCAAACTTGACTTGTAATTTCAAGATTCTACAGCACCATTAAAATAACAAATGAGACAAAGTTTACTCTCACTGTGGGTAGTACTAGACATTCTAAGCCAATGCAGTAAGAATAAAGCAAATTTAAAATGGAATTAATAGAAAGCAAAAAGGGAAAAAATTGATACTTGTAAAGGACATGACTATGTAGTAGCAAATCCAAGAAATCAACCAAAAACTATCAGAATCTACCAGCAATGTAACAAGACAGAAGAAATAGAAAAATCAATAGATTTCCTAAACATCATCAATAACCAATGTGAAAAAGGAAATGAAATCTTATTCACAACTGCAAAAAAAAATTAAAAAGGTAAAACAAACATTATCAAATTATAGTCTTTGTAAGAAAAGAGTGAAACTGAGCCTGAACACAAAGACTAAATATATAAAGAGGTCAATTCTTCCTAACCCATTTACTTTTTTTATACACGTAGGATTTTCAAGTTGAAATTCCAAAAGAATTTTTGGGAGGAAGGGAGTTTCAACTTATTCACAACTTTAACTGAAAGAATAATCAAGTAAGAGTATCAAGAAAACTTTTTAAAAACATGCTACCAATTTTAATGCATTCAAACATGTTTAGCAGCAAGCAATTTATTGAGATTTCTTGTTCAATTTTCTTAACGATTCTGCAAAACACATAGTTTCACTTTACTAAACAGATAAGAAACCAGGGCTCACAGAGGTTAGCTATAAAGTTGTATAACCAGGTGGAAGAGTTCAAATTGTCATTCAAGCCCATCTGACTGCAAGGCCCGGGTTCTGAACCCACTATGTTAAGATATGTCCTATTTTATACTGAAACATATTACAGAATAACAATTAATAGAATGTAAAATACACCAAAAAAAAAAAAAAAAAAGGGCATCCTAGGAAATGATTAACTGTAATGGAAAGAATTTCATATAAGAAAAGAATCGGCAACGCCGGAACGCAACTCCCAGCGAATGAGACGCAGAGGGCTAGAGGACTTCACTATTCCAAGTTAGGTGCCGGGTTCCTTGCAGTGGAACTGGTAGAATTCTGAAAACAGCCAGGGAAGGTAAGCCGAGAAGCAGGGTGAGTGCAGCCCAGGGAGGACTGACCAAGACGGGGTGGGGCGCATCCCCACCTGGAAAGGGCAGCAGGCTCGGAGGGTCGGGGACTTCACCCCCTCAGTCCTGCGATTCAGATCCTGTGGTTCCCTCATCCCTCCTGCAACCCACTGTCCACAAGAGCCCCGCCAGAATGAGGGGCGCCATAGGTTGTCAATACAAATCTGAGTGTCCACTCCTGCCTGGAGTCGCAAGCTGGCAGGGACCCAGGCGGAAGTGTGGAGTAACACCAGCAGGACGAAACTACCCGTCCCACAGAAAGAGGCAGAGTTGAAAGCAGGGAAACAGGCCATAAGGCCTGGCAGGCCTGACCCCCACCCCCACAAAACTCAAACTGAAGCCCAAGCGCTAGAGAGCTTCTCAGCGAAAACACCAGTTTGATCCCAAACAGGAAGATGGAGTTCCGGGAAGGAGAGAGGCCATTGGGAAAGCGGGGCTCATTTAACGTGCATAAACAAACTCTGGGTAAGACCACCCACCTATCAACCCAACTGAATCCAAGGCAGCCCAGCAGGGCCTCCACAGGCCAAAAAAGATACAGCTCCAACCTCAACAAAAAGCCGGTATATTCAAGAGATTCCTCCCGAAATCACCAACTTCAAAGATCAAAGGCAAATAAACCCACAAAGACAGGAAACAACCAGCGCAAAAAGGATGAATCCATCAAAGACCAGAACACCTCTTCTCTTCCCAGGGATCACAGCTCCTCACCATCAAGGGAACAAAACAAAACAGAGAAAGAGTTTGACGAATTGACAGAAGCAGGCTTCAGAAGGTAGGTAATAACAAACTTCTCAGAGTTAAAAGACCATGTTCTAACCCAATGCAAAGAAACTAAGAACCTTGAAAAAAGGTTAGATGAAATTCTAACTAGAATAACCAGCATAGAGAAGAACATAAATGACTTGATGGAGCTGAAAAACAGCACGAGAACTTCGCAAGGCATACACAAGTTTCAACAGCCAAATCAATCAAGCAGGAGAAAGGACATCAGAGATAGACGATCAAATCAATGAAATAAAATGAGAAGGCGAGACTAGAGAAAAAAGATTGAAAAGAAATGAACAAAGCCTCCAAGAACTATGGGATTATGTGAGAAGACCTAATCTACGCTTGATTGGCATACCTGAATGTGACGGGGAGAATGAATCCAAGCTGGAAAACACTCTTCAGGACATTATCCAGGAGAACTTCCCCAACCTAACAAGGCAGGCCAATATTTAAATCCAGGAAATACAGAGAACACCACAAAGATACTCCTCAAGAAGAGCAATTCCAAGGCACATAATCGTCAGATTCACCAGGGTTGAAATGAAGGAAAAAATCCTAAGGGCAGCCAGACAGAAAGGACAAGTCACTCACAAAGGAAAGACTATCAGACTCACAGTGGATCCCTTGGCAGAAACCCTACAAGCTAGAAGGGAGTGGGGGCCAATATTCAACATCCTTAAAGAAAATAACTTTCAACCCAGAATTTCATATCTGGCCAAACTAAGCTTCATAAGTGAAGGAGAAATAAAATCCTTTACGGACAAGCAATTGCTGAAAGATTTCATCACTACAAGACCTGCCTTACAAGAGCTCCTGAAGGAAGTACTAAACATGAAAGGAACAACCAGTACCAGCCACTGCAAAAATGTACCAAATAGTAAAGAACAATGACACAACAAAGAAACCACATCAACTAACAGGCAAAACAACCAGCCAGTAACAAAATGGCAGGATCAAATTCAAACATGACAATATTAATATTTAATGTAAATGGCCTAAATGCCCCAATCAAAAGACACAGACTAGCAAACTGGATAAAAAGTCAAGACCCATCAGTGTGCTGTATTCAGGAGACCCATCTTACGTGCAGAGACTCACATAGACTCAAAATAAAGGGATGGAAAGAGATTTACCAAGCAAATAGAGAGCAAATAAAAGCAGGGGTAGCAATCCTAGTCTCTGATAAAATGGACTCTAAACCAAGAAAGATCAAAAGAGACAAAGAAGGGCATTAAATAATGGTAAAAAGGATCAATGCAACAAGAAGAGCTAACGATCCTAAATATATATGCACCCAATGCAGGAGCACCCAGATACAAAAAGTTCTTAACAACCTACAAAGAGACTTAGACTCCCGCACAATAGTAGGGGGAGACTTTAATACTCCACTGATAATACTGGACAGATCAAAGAGACAGAAAGTCAACAAGGATATCCAGAACTTGAATGCAGATCTGGACCAAGCAGACCTAATAGACATTTATTTATAGAACATTCCACCCAAAATCCACAGAACACACATTCTTCTCAGCACCACATTACACTTACTCTAAAATTGACCACTTAATTGAAGTAAATCACTCCTCAGCAAATGCAAAAGAACAGAAATCGTAAGAAACAGTCTGTCAGACCACAGCACAATCAACTTAGAACTCAGGATTCAGAAAAACAGTCAAAACCGCACAAGCATATGGAAACTGAACAATTTGCTCTGAATGATGGATGAATGGATAAACAATGAAATGAAGGCAAAAATAAAGATGTTCTTCGAAACCAATGAGAACAAAGACACAACGTACTAGAATCTATGGGACACATGTAAAGCAGTGTCTGGAGGGAATTTATAGCAATAAATGCCCACATGAGAAACAAGGAAAGATCTAAAATTGACACCCTATCATCAAAATTGAAAGAGCTAGAGGAGAAAGATTAAAAAAATGCAAAAGC